AATGAAAAAAAAAAAAAAAAAACAGTTTTTACATCGAGTTGTGCAAGCTCAAGATTAAATTGAGCAACCAAAGCCAACAAAATTCGAACGGAAGAATGTTTTACCACAGGTGAGAAAAATTCATTGTAATCAATACCTTCTTTTTGTGCGTAGCCTTTAACCACAAGTCGAGCCTTATAACGTATACCAGAAGAGTCTTCCTTTTTTGCAAAAACTCATTTACAACCAATTTCCTTTTTACCTTTTGGAAGTTGTACCAAATCCCAAGTTTGATTTATCTCCAATGATGCTATCTCTTGATTCACAACCTCTTGTCAGTGTAAGCTATCCGGGCTCTGAATAGCATCTTTGTAACTGTTAGGAACTCCATCAATCAAAGAGAAAGCATATGCTATCGTATCATCAAACCTTGCAGGTTTTCGAATTACCCTTCGTGATCTATTCTTAGCGATAGACTCAGGTTCCTCCACTCTTTCATTTACAAGGCTTTGCTCCTCAAGGCTTTGCTCTTTCTGTTCTAAGACATCAAAGTTATTATCTATCTGATCAAAGGTTCTTCAGTAGGAGCAAACATATCAGGAGAGAACACCACCTTCTCCACTTGCTTCAATGCTTCGTCATTATTTTCAATTTTCTGCAAAAACATTCCAGACTCCTCGAATGTCACATCTCGACTATTAACAATCTTACTTGTTTCTGGACACCATAACCTATAGCCCTTCACACCTTTGCTAAAGCCCATAAATTTGGTTTTTTTTGCTCTAGGATCCAGCTTTGAGTCTGTCAAATGATAATAAGCAGGACACCCAAACACATGCAATTTATCATAATCACGAACAAGACTACTTGACCATACCTCAAGCGGAGTTCTCCCACCATTTCTAGAAACAGGTAAACGATTCACCAAGTGAACTGCATAACTGAGAGTCTCAGCCCAAAATGCCTTACTCAATTCTGCTTGAGACAATATGCATCGAACCTTCTCTATTAATGTCTGGTTCATTCTCTCAGCAACTCCATTTTGTTGTGGCTTACCAGGAACAGTGAAGTTTCGAACGATCCCTTCATCTCGGCATACTTTAAGGAATGAATCATAAGTATATTCTCCCCCGTTGTCTGATCTCAACTTTTTGATTTTCCTGTCCATCTGATTCTCTACCATTTTCTTCCACTCTAGGAAGATTTGGAGAACCTCGTTTTTGTGCCTCATGAGATACATCCAAACTCTCTTCGAGCAGTCATCAATAAAGGTGACAAACCACCTCTTTCCTACCAATGAGACATTCTTCGTGGGACCCCATACATTAGTGTGAACATAATCCAAAATGCCATTTGTTTGGTGTATAGTTGTACCAAACTTCACATTTTTTTGTTTACCAAATATACAATGTTCACAGAAATCAATTTTACCAGTTGTGGCACACTTAAGGACTCTTTGGTTCACCAATGTTTGAAGCACCTTCTCACCAGCATGCCTAAGTCACATGTGCCATAATTTCGATATGTCTTGTTCTTTCGAACTTGCCACAGCAGCATGCCCAATTATTGTGGTTCCGTTGAGGTAGTATATGCTACCTCTTCTAGTTCCTGTAATTTCCACCAAAGCTCCACGAGCTACTTTCAAATTCCCTCCTTCCAAAATGATGCGATAACCACTCGCATCCAAAACGCCAAGTGAAATCAAATTTTTCTTCAAGTCAGAGACATACCTCACATCTTTGAGTTGTCGTATAACCCCATCAAACATCTTGATTTGTACTGAGC